TTCAATTACAAACACTATACAAAATTTATGTTTTTATTTCTTGTATTACAAAATTAAAAGATGAGAGATGTGAACGAAAAATGTAAGAGGAGCCGATAATTAGAGTGATCATAAGTAGAAAACACACAATAAATAAATTTTGTATTTCGAACCTTGGCCATGTATGCTGATAAGTGGTGACGATATTTGGATTAAAGGCAACGATTCTTCGATGGATTTATTTAGTTGTGCATGGATAAATACAATACGAAGATAACAGTTTATATAAGATTAGAAACGTGGGATAGAGAAATATATGACGTGAATGTGAAGTTATTTAATTAAAGCATTTTTATATTGCTTCTGACTTGAGGAAATCATATTCCAATTTTTTTTTTTATTTATCTTTGGGCGAAGAATTATTCTGTCAGGAAATATGAAAGAAACAAAAGCTAAACGCGGAACACACTAGACAATCTGTTATTTCTAACACAAGTTTCTCAGGTTTTTAACTATTACTGATATTATTTTCAAAAAAAAGAAAAAAAAACTATTACTGATATTTGCTCAGTGGAAGTCCGGCCATATATTTCATATGGATCGGGGCAAGAATAGTGTACACTTGCTCTGTTCTTTTATTAACAACAAAAAACCAACGATATCGATTAACAATAGCGATAACAATTAGCAAACACGTTGTGTTGTTTTTTTTTTGCAGTTGCTGGAACTGGTTATTACGACTGACTGCTAAATTGTTTATTTAAAAGTGTTAGAAGATTATGATCACTGTCTCCGGACTAAAAGAGTCCGTGAAATTGTTTGTTCTCTTATTTAAATTTAAAAACAAAATTCTGTTAATGATTTTGGAGAGGACATTTTGTAATATTGAAAGAAAAAGAAAAAGAGAATCTTCAACATTTCAACCCAAAAAAAAGAAAAAGAGCCAAAACAGTGAAAAAGTAGAGAGTTTCGTCGTCCGTACTTTCTTACCATGGAAGAAAGTGAAAGCTATTTACAGGGGTGTAAAAACAAGTGGTAATTTCCCACTATTATGAGCTTTAATCTGAGACCCAAATAAGGCCCAACACTCTTATTCAGTTCATGTCAGAATCGTATCGACACATTAGGGTTTATCATCATCTAAAACCCCAAATCTCGATTCTTCATTTCCTCTTGATGCTTAAACTCGTAAATCTTTCGAAAATCGATCTATGAGTGAGATTTTTCGCTCTTCTCGAATCGAAACAAATCAAATCATGGGCAATTCCTTTTTTTCGAATCGAAACAGATACTTGGGTTGAATCTTCTGGTTCTGTTTCTTCTTCATTTCTGCTCCATTGTCATGTATCCTCCGATACTCCATGGAAGAAGTTTGGTGGAGTTGCATAAATGTCTTAGCTTGAATGTTTCAGTGCAAAATGCGTTTGCTTTCTCCGATTCGTTCTCCTCTGTTATGAGGTCTCAAAATGGTGTAAAAGGAAAGACTTTTACAGTCTCTTACCTCGTTGCTTCTCTGGGTTTGCCTACAAAACTCGCTGAATCGATTTCGAAGAAAGTCAGTTTTGAGGAAAAGGGTAATCCTGATTCTGTTCTGAGTCTTCTTAGGAGTCATGAGTTTACAGATTCTCAGATCTCAAGCATCATTACGAACTACCCACGATTGCTTACATTAGATGATGAGAAATCCATTGGTCCCAAGCTTCAGTTTTTACAGTCCAGAGAAGGAGATTCAACCTCTGAGCTCACTGAGATTGTTTCTACAGTTCCCAAAATCTTGGGAAGGAAACTCTTGGGAATCAAAAAGGACAAATCTATAAGCATATACTACGATTTCGTCAAAGAGATTATAGTAGATGATAAGAGTTTGGAGTTCGAAAAGCTATGTCATTCTTCTTTGCCACAATTGAAGGTAGTAAGCAAGATAATAAAATGAGAAATGTACCGGTTCTGAGAGAATTAGGTGTGCCTCAGAGGTTGTTATTCCCCTTGCTCATCTCTGATTGCCATTGTGTCTGTGGAAAAGAAAAATCTGAAGAATCCCTCAGGAAAGTCATTGAGATGGGTTTTGATCCGACCACGTCAAAGTTTGTCCAAGCTCTGCGAGTTGTTTAGGATTTGAGTGACAAAACAAAAGAAGAAAGAGTCAATATCTATAAAAGGTTAGGCTTTGATGTGGGAGATGTATGGGAAATTTTCAATAAGTATCCAGTCACTCTGAGATTATCTGAGAAGAAGATAACTCAAAGTTTGAATCGTTGAAGAAATGTGGACTACTTGAAGACGAGATCATCTCGATGTTCAAGAAGTTTCTGGCATGCATTGGTTATTCAGAGCATAAGATAGCCAACTCCATTGAAACATTGCGAAGATGGCAAGCTCTCTCCTTAGTGCATTGGATTGTCTGTAGAGACTGTGAAGAAGAAGACTGAGTTTCTGGTGAAGAAGAAGAATTGGCCACTAAAGGCTCTGGTTTCAAAACATCTAGAGGATTGCTCGCGAGTAAACTCCCTCCAATGTTATCTGTGTTGCCAGTTACGTGGTGAAGCATGATGACAAGGAACTTGTGGCTGAATTGATGGCTATTTTCACAGAGAAAAACCAATGATACTTATCTGTGAAGGGGACTGCCCTAAAGACTGGTGTGTGACAGGAGCAATCTTCAATTACACAAACCAAACTTATGTCTGCTTCTGAAAACTCACAGAGTAGTTAGTCCATTGTGAGTTAAGATTCTTAATGTTATATTTCAGTTTAGTAATTTGTGTATGAGTTTCATAGAGCAGATCAGAGGGTGACTACTCTTTTGTTTCTTTTGGTTTGCAGATAACTTGATAGAGACTCTAATGTTCTTACATGGGAGATGTCCATTAAGTTAGTCTCTTGTAAATTCTGAGATTATATGCAGTTGAGGCTATGTTATTTACATTTAATTACTTCAATATAAAAGTGGTCTAATGGATGGACAACAACAAGAAGTCAAACGCTAAATTAATAAAAAGACAAGTAAAAATTACAAAAATGGAATAAAAACTAGGTTTTTCTGGTGTATAACCAAAAAAAAAACAAATTAAAAAGTTGGAAAAAATGGGGTATTTGGCAAAATGTAAAACATTGGATTTAGGGTTTTTAGTTACTTTTTAAATTATAATTTTGTTGTTGTATTTTTAGCAAATTATCCCTAAAAACTATTGAGACATATTTAGTAAAAAAAAACTCAATATGTAAAACTGACTAGTCAAGCTTGATCACAACTAAACTTTTAGTCACATACTTCAATTTTTTTTTTAAATCACGCATATGTGTGATTTATCAAATATAAGACACGATCGTTGCTCCGGTCATATCAATCGAGGCAATGCTGAGGAGACATCTTACCGCGTGCAGATCCGTCAACATTCTGGCACACTGCAGTAGCAGGACCATCCTCACGTCTTCCATTGTGTTTTAAATTAATGTCAATTAACTGAACATTCTTACAAGGAAAGCTTTTGCTACATTGTAGATTCACTGCCACCTTATTCTTCGACATTCCGTATATGTTTTTTAACTTCAAATCTTGGATCTGAACATGAGACTCTCCCTACAAAGTTTAAGAAAAACTTTGTGTTATTAGGTTTTCTTATGTGACAAGAAAAAAGAAAAGAAGTTTGCATCCTTGTGTATCAAGTTACCTTCTTCTCGCATGGCGGATGAGGGCAATACTTTTGATCGATATTGATCGGTTTTCCAACATCAATCATTTTGATATTCTCATAAACAAAGTTTGAAACGAGGATCTTTGAAGCTGACGATTCCCATGTCTTAATCCTAATACCATCACTCGTGCCGTTAAAAACAATGTCTCTTACCGTTAATCCCTTCACYTCTTTTTCATCTTTGTTCTTCCCCAAACTTCCAACACTAATCCCATGTCTGGGACCGCAAGTGACGTTAGAGATATCTAGGTTASTTGTTCCAGAGAGAATGGCGATACAATCGTCTCCAGTGCCTATGTGAGTGTTTGAAATGTGCATGTTACTTACCCATTTTGATCCCATCGGTGTTACGGCTATCTCCAGGAGCTGTTATAGTGACTTCGGTGATGTTAAAGCGATGGACCGAGTAAAAGTTGAAATGTCCCATTTTGCTGTTGAGTGATGTTATCCCTTCGATACTTGAGTCATTAACAAATGCAAACCCCATGGTCTGTAGAAAGAATTAAGCYGATCAAAGACTCTATATGAATTATTAATTCTATATSGAMTAGATAATTTAAAGTTACTTTAATTATGACATTTATCTTTTAAGAACTAGACTGTCAAAAACATTAAAACTCAAAATTAAAGATACAAGAAGAACAAATGAAATGATTGAACAAGATCATGTCATGTTTTGCAATATAAGATTCAATGGTTTGAGAATTTTTATATGAAAGAGAATTAATCGGAAAGTTTGCCGAAATTCGGATATACTCAATGCTAAATAAAATCGTATATCAAAGACTTAAGAAGTGGTACCATAGCGAGTTTAGGACAATTAGTGTTCTTATGGCAGTCATTGAGTGGCCYAGATTGTTTTCCTTGGCCGTCGAGTGTTCCTTTGCCCGAGACATAGAGGTTGTTCATGTATCTAAAATTGATTCATGTGTCCTGTTTAATGTCGTTGGGGTTTGAAGGAGCCAATAAAATTCCATCGATGACGAATTCGATTTTACTTTTACATGGTCCGACGAACTCCACACCACCGAGATAGAAAGTTCCCGTTGGTACATAGATTATACTATTTCCACCTCTTGAACATGCACTTTTCCACACATTTGTGAACGCCTAGTATCATACATGTTAAGAACAAGATATGTTAATATGTAACATAGTAATTTCATGATAAATATTTTAAGGTGGATTATGATTATATCAAAGTTTACATCTCAAAATCAAACAACAATAAACTAATTGTGATCAATATTTAAATGTATAGACTTTATCTTGAAATTCTAACAGATTCTTTATTTTAAATGGATTATAACATTCCTAACAAACTCTAATTTGTTTTAAAAGTTCAGATTTTTTACTGAAAGTTTAATTTTCTTTAAAAAAATGAAGGTTTAACATAACGTATCAAATCTTTAACATATTTTGGCTTGCTCCTGAGATTTTATCTTTTTATTGAGTTGAGTTAATTTATATAAAAACTAAAATATAATCAGCCAAAAAAAAGTATTTGAGAAGAATAAAAGAGAAAAACTGTAACATACATTGGCATTATCTGTTTGGCCGTCGCTTTTAGCACCATAATGTTGGACGTTGAAAACCTTTGGCCCAACGGTAGGACGACTTGCCACAGCTACAAATAAGAGAGACAAACACAAAACCTTAAACCCGGAAACAATGCAAGCCATCTTCTTGTTTTTGTTGGAGATATTTATATAATAATAAAAATGTATTAATTGTAAAGGAATGCTTTAGACACAATGAAAAGTGTTGGCCCCATTTTTCAGCTTTTATAGAGTTAATAAACTGTTGAAAACCTATCTAAAAAGAACTTGATTTTTGTTAATAATTATTGGCTAAAACTGATTTGTTTATTGTATAATGATTGTGATTAGTTAACAATTTTTGTTATAGAGATTTTTCTTATGTATTTATGGTTTATTTTTTCTCGTTTAAAACAGAATTGTAATTTTGGTGAATATATATCAATCAGAATTACCAATATATTGTTTTGGTGTTATGTCTTATGGAAGCATTTTTTTTTTCTTCAATAAATTCAAAGTCCGTGGTTATGTCTTATGGAAGAATTTTTTTTTGTCTTCAATAAATTTATGGTCCCATGTGCATTGTATTGACTACAGAGAAAGTGAAGAAGAAGACTGAGTTTATTGCGAAGAATTGGCCACTAAAGCCCGTGGTTTCAGTTCCTGCGGTACTTGGATTAAGCATGGAGAAGAGGATTGTACCAAGGTGTAACGTAATCAAAGCTCTCATGTCCAAAGGATTGCTCGGAACTGAACTCCCTTCAATGTCGTCTGTTTTGGTACGTACGGATGAGGTGTTTTTAAACAAGTTTGTGAGGAAGCACGACGACAAGGAGCTTGTGGATGAGTTGATGGCTATATTCACACGGAAAGAAGAGAAAAACAGATAAAACTTGTGAATGAGGTAGAGGTTTTCGTAGTCTCCATGTTTGTATCATTAGATGTTGAATTATTATCAAAGACTGTAATACAAGAAACTGTATGTTCAAAGTTAAGCAAAAATCACCTGACTTGTTGTATCATCAGGATTGATTCTCTTCATGTGACTTGTTTGGATTCTCTTTGTCAACTGTTTCGTACTTTACCTGTTTGGTTGGATCCTCTTTATGGAAAAGAAAAATTTGAAGAATCCCTCAAGAAGGTCGTTGAGATTGGTTTTGATCCAACCACCTCAAACTTTGTCCAAGCTCCGCGAGTTGTTTACGGAATGAGCGACAAGACGGTTGATGAAAGTGTCCAAGTCTATAAGAGGTTAGGCTTCGCGGTGGGCGAGGTATGGACAATGTTCAAGAAGTATCCATTTTTATTTATGTTCTCGGAGGTATGGAAACATCTCTTGTCCAAAGGATTGCTCGGAACTGAAATCTCACTGATTGGATATGTATATAGATGAGGTGTTTTTAAACTGGTATGTCAAGATGCGCAATGAAAAGAAGCTTGTGGCTGATTTGATGTCTATTTTCACTGCAAATTGTAAAACAAATAGAAGCTTCTGAATTGATGTGTTTCGTATCAAGTTTTAATTCTTTTAGTGACTATCAGTTTGGGAAAATCATTTTTGAAAAACAATAAAAAGATATGAATTTGTATGCATTGAGATCTCCAGAAAGTGTAATACAAGAAGAAATTGAAGCTTCAAAGTTTCGCAAAAACCATCAACAATTCATGTAACTAGCTTGTTGGATTCTTTTTGTCAACTGTTTCGTACTTAAAATTAACCTTGAAACCTCACCTAAATCAATTCACATAACATAAAACCAAACTCATATACACACCAAAAAAAGAAAAATGGATACAAACTAAAAAATATATTAAAACAAAAATTAATTATAAGAATAAATAAAAGCAATCTAACATTTTATCATGTATGTCACTCCAACAAATTAATCGTTTATATACAACCATACATAAACTAAATTAATGTTTAATTTATACTTTCAAAACATTAAACATTACATTAACTTGTTATATTAGAAAAATCAAATATTAGTTTTTTTTTAAACACATGATTTTTATTATTAACTAGGTGACTCCCGCGTTATACG